GGGGGGGGGGGGGGCACTCCTGGAGGATTGGCTTATTGGATGCCAGGTGCGGCACCCTTGGACGTTTTGCTCCGTTAATAATACGTGTCACAAGATGCATGGTTTTTGTCGTGGTCGTTTCAATTCCCCTTCAGCTGCGTCCGCAGCAATTGTTGTTACGAATATGTTGTGCGTGCTGATCTCAGCTCATTACATACTAGACTCTTCGAAGGCGTTTAATGTAGAGCACCCTGTTGGAGAACCACAGAAGTGAGATTGAACAAATCGATTAATCCCTCGTTCGTTCTCCGACAGATTGCGCTACTTGCGCACATGAAGCGCCTTCAGAGAGTCGAGTATGTAATGGGCTAAAATCAGCACGCACAACATATTCGTAACAACAATTGCTGCAGACACAACAGAAGGCGAATTGTCAGTTTAAGAAAACGATGTCTGCGTGTAACGGAAAGGTATGTATTCGATCGAAATAAAATCGAACGAAGAATGAAAACGTGAACCGATCAACACAGATTTCTGGGACAAATGAATAAAAGAGCTGATCGAAATCAGTAGAAAACTTGCATTCAGTATGAAAATTTCAAATTGCGGTATCTCGAAAGTAGATTCGAAAAAAAAAAAAAATGAACGGATATCGATCGAGCAGATTTCGATCGAAACAGGCTTCCGAAACGATTTTTTCGAAGTGAACGATTACGAAATGATCGCTCGATCGTTTCGTAGGAACCAACGAGCGAAATATCGGTTCGGGGACAGCCCTAGTCACAATGCTGAGATTCGTATCTTGTTGGCTGGGCAAATGATTTGCCTTCAATTATCCGGCTATGCAATATGACTCGTGACGCACGAATAGTGGTATCAGAATTCCGCATTAAGATTACGCAGTGTGTTGAAGGCGCTTTTCTGTATCCTATTTGAGCGGCCGTATGTAGAATGATGTTGACCAAAATTGTTCATAATTTTGGAGTCTTTAATCGAGCCGCAATTTTGAAAAATGCCCGATGAACATTATTTTGCGTTCTGAGAATTTTTTTTTGCCTGTAGGTCTTAAATCAAAAAAGAGTGCCCAAACGCTCGGTTCAGATTGTGGTTTTTAAGTCTTCTTGCTATGGTATTTCCATTCTCATGCAAAACTGAGAGAGTTGCCGTTTACAAGAGCGGAACTTACTCAAAAGCGGTTGTTAATTCAATAAGTTTCGCTGGGATGAAATGAGCTTTCGTCAATGAACTGTGAATATTCAAAATCGAAGAAAAGGAAATTCGTCCACTGGATTATTTCAAAGGCGTAGAGCCTGGATGAATAAAGCATAATTGGACTGCATTTTGCAATTTGGAACTATAAATTCTGACTCATCCGTAAAAACACTTATGTGCATAGGGAAACTAATGGCACATACGTTGTTTTTAAACCGGGCTAGAATTTATAGTTCCAAATTGCAAAATGTATTCCAAATGTCCTCCGGGTTTCTACGGGTACCGTATAACGTATAGATGGCGGTAGGTTTCTAACACGGCAAAACAGAATATACACGCGAAAATAATAAGCTTTTTCGGATCCATCAGGATTTTGAATAATTTTCCGAATTGTACGAAAATATGATAGAAATACCGAGAATCGCGTTTTTGGCGAACGCATTTTTGCAATTAGTGTTTTAAACCTGTTTCTGCCGAATTTTGATAATTTAAAGACCGAAAAAAGAGTTTCATATTCACAAAATTCCTTATCAGAAGCTTTAGTTTTAGCCCATACGGGAGAATCAAGCATTGCATGATTTGAAATTGACACTTGATCACGAGATACGCATTCCTGCGCGAGCACTGTTTTGAACTTGTTTTTGATCATTCAGATAAAAAATAGAGTAATTCACACTTTAAACTTGTTTTGAAGCTTTTCTTACTTGATTCCATGTACACAGCTAGACAAGCATCATATGATTCGATTGACTCTAGCTGACCGTCATGATGAACCTTGAGTTCATGACTGCTTCAAGACCATCGTACGTACTATGGTACGTATGATGCAAGTACGAAATTTTCTGAGAACATTCCTCATGATATGTGCGTATATTTTCCTGTGAAAGGGTGGTGACGTGCGGGGGGGTTTTAGAAGAAATGAGGGGGTGCCAACTCCCTGAAGGCCTTTGGGAGGATAGGGGACTTTGATGGCTGGGTGTCGCAGAGCGCCAGAGAGCGCTGTAGAAGCGGCTTTTATATACACATTCCGCACGCAGGGGGAAAAAATCTAGGGAGCTTTTCAAAAATGATGCGGAGAATTTTTTTCTCCTAGAAAATTAATTAAAATTTGGAAGTCAGCAGCGTTGGAAACCAAATTCTTCGAAAAATTCCTCTTTCGGCGTGAATAAGAGCAGTTGTCGACGTGGTGGAATTTTTTAGACTCTTTCTTCAAACGGATTTTGATTGAATTGTAATTTGCGTGTCTATATAATACTTGATGCTTTTCCTCGATGCAGTCGTTGTCACGAGGGTTTCCAATTTTCTCCTCCTTTTTTTCTACTTTTTGTGTCGAAGTTGCAGAAATTTGAAAATAATAAAATTAAGAGTGGGGAATATTTTGATGCACTTAACATTGCTGAGGAAAAGTACAGTAACAATTACATTCAAATGTTGTAAAATCTACCTTACCACTAATGCACAAATATATCACTATTTAAGACGTTACTAAAACATTAATATTGAGAAGAGGAATTACTATTTTCTTTCGAATATTGAGGTGCACTACATTCTACAGGCTGCCCGGAAGTTAACGTCCTTCACTTTCAGGATCGATTTTTTGGCTCAAATTATGACCATTCATTACCGTACGCATATGTATACCCGAAAATTCTTCATAAGTAAGGTATGCGCTACTTACGCCAAAATAACGAGGAGTTAGATCAATTTGAAAGAAAAAAATGGCATCTTTTGAAGCGCATAGCTCACTTATGAAGCGTTTTCGGGTATACATGTACAGGTAAAAATGATCCTATTTTGAACCGAAAAATCAATCCTGAAAGTTAAGTACGTTAACTTCCGGACGCCCTGTATTGCGAAAATAATTCAGTTAATTTCAAAGAAAAACCCTAGAAAATTTGTATTTATGTGTATTTTTAATTTTGTATCGGAAGAAATTTGCCAACATACTTAAACCATTTTGATTTCGTTTTTGTGGTTTTACGTCTGACTTCTCCTCTGTAGTGGTTCATCAGTCATAATTACATATTGTTTGAAGAGACGGTAGGTCAGACACAGGCATCGACCCGCCTTTTAAATTTTCCTCTTACACGAATTTTCCTTACTTGAGTAAATCACGCAACGAGTTACGGGGCCTCTGGGTGATTCCTAGAAACACAGGTTTGCATTTACGACTTTCGCATTCCCCCGGTTGATGCCCAAACGCAGAGTTTTTGAGTTTCATTTATTTTAAAGGACTTCTGATTCAACTACGCGCAAAAATAGTGGGCACGATTCAATATTTTTCCATTTTATTTCATGAGTCGTGTTTTACTAATGGGCATTTTCAGGCGGAACGGGCGGGAACCAATAGGAGTAGAGGTTTCGACTTGTTTAAATTTGGTTTTATTTCATGAGACCCATTCAAACTACGTTATCCTTCCGGGGAATGGGCTGTACTGTCTTTTGAATGCGGGGAGCGCCACTTTGGATTGATGTCGCGTCATAGCGTGAACTATCAGTCGTGATGTCTCTGCTATATCGAATTGAATTAAAGATATAACCTCTTTTTAAAATTATTGCAATCAATGCAGTCTGAAATATTAAGGAAATTGTGTGGTGCCCAAAGGTATGAGACTAATATGGACATCCGTAAGGACTTAGGGACAGAATCTATTTACAAATATATTCAAGAAATTTCGCAAAGATACGAAGACATACATCGTCATCCAAACAAAACTGCAATTGAACTTCTAAATAATATCAAGGAAATTAGAAGACTCAAAAGGAAGAAGTCATCGGAGCTTGTCACCAACGCTGATTCTGGCTACATTCGAATTTCACTCATCTCATCCACCTAATCCTTATGAGTCCTTAATCCTTATTAATCTTAAAATTAAGTCTTAAGTTCAACTATAATCATTATAGAAATAAGTAATTATCCAGTTATTACTTTTACATACCTTTATTTACGTATACATTAAGATAATTGTATATATTTCCTCCTAGGAAGGTTACACTATATAAACTCGTTTAAAAAAAAAAAAATAAAAAAAAAAAAATAACCTCTTTGTGACATCAATGAGGGAAAATTGACATATGTCGTCATATGCGATGTCGTTATAACCGATACATAAATACGTTGAATGAATGGGATTTCAGCCGGGACCGACCAGTTTACGTCGTTATGCCCGATATGTCGTTATAACCGATGTCGTTATATCCGATATCCACTGTACATTGCTTTTCTGCGACCTCGCCGTTGCTTTGAGGGTGGTGAGAGCAAAC